GCCCGGCTCGGGCTCAGGCAGGATCGACCCAGGTCGCCAGAGCCCGGGCCACGTGCACGTGGGGCGCCTGAAATGGGGCCGGTGTTTTCGGGAGAGGGTTCCTCGCTTTCTCTGATGCTGATGTAAATGAAGCCGACGCCGCGCGGTTCTCCGGCCTCGGTCCTGGTTCTGCGGCACCTGCCAGCTCTCTGGCTGCGTCGGATCAGATGGAGCTTGTGGTCCAGGTCTCCCAGTCTGGCCCCTTCTCGGTCCTGTTGGACAGAGGCAGAGAGTCGGGAGTATCCGGCCGGCCTGGCCGCTCTGCACCTGGTGCCTGACAAGGCCACAGTCGCTACCCTAGTGGTGGCAGGAACTTCATGTAATTTCTTTAGCCTTTGATACTTTAAGACATTCTTGGTAGAGCGTGCAGGAGAGAAAGGGAGAGAGAAGTGCTGTCGGCAGGGCCCCGTGGCCCCGAGGACCTGCTCCTTGGGTCCTGGGCACCTGCACTCCTGCCCTGGGTGTTCTCAGTCAGATCCAGGACGCACCTGCCGATAGCTGCCATGTTCTCTGGCCTTGCAGGCCTGTGTCAGGGCTGCGCTCGCAGCTGGGCCGATGTCCTCTTAATCTTGCACAGGTATGGGATGCTTGTGAGAGTGACAGTTTCGAGGAGTACTGGCAGGTATTTTGGGTCAGGTCGCTCCATGGGGACCGGTGGGTCTGATGTGCTCCCCATGCTTGGTCTGCAGTCATAGGCCCTCACAGTCTGTCTCTCTCAGCCTCTCCCTCTCATACTCTCTCGCTTAGTCTTTTTTTTTTTTTTTTTTTTTGTGCTACAGGGCACATGCACTCACTGGACAGGGGAGGAGTGAGAAATCACCCCCCAGAAGAAATGGCACACCATAATTCCTTCTCCGCCATCCTCCTCAGGATTTGGGCCACACACGCACATACTCCTGGTGGGATTTTCCAGCCACTGGGTCTGGGACTCGAACCACAGAGTCGGCCCTATGGGATCCAGCACTCTACACTACTTGCTGTCTCCATACTCTCTTTTTTAAAAAAATCATCAGTATAGTATTCTAAATCTCATAGGGTTTTTGAAGGAAGTAAAGTCAGATCGCCGAACTTTGTTGAAATAGAACCAAAAGTTGAGTCCAGCTTTTCTGACTGAAGCTGTTGAGTTGAATTTGTGCCCTTGCCTAGATTTATGGATGGGCCTGGGGTGGAGGTGAATGAGCTTAGAGCAGTAGGGATGATCTTGTGGCAGAGAGCATAGAGCTGTGTGGAGGTCCTAGAAAGGGACTGCCGTTCCTCTGTGCCGAGAAGCCCAGAGTTGACTCTGGGCTGTCTCGAGCCTGGGTCTTACAGTCTGTGGCTGTTCTCTGTGTGTGTAACTCACTGATGTTTTCTCTGGCTCAGTCCCAGACTCCCTCGTCCTTGCCAGTGCACCCCAGATCAGCACGACCCAAACAGCTTGAGTCCGCACTGTGTCCCTCCAGGACATCAGCACAGCCTCAGCTGACTGTTCTGGCAGGTCCCACTCCTGCTGTCCCAGCTCTGCCACATCTGGCTCATTGGTGCAGACGCTCCCACCGGCTCCTTAGCATTGCAGCCGTGCTGTCTAACAGGGCTCCAAGATAACGGGAAGGGTTTTAATTCACTGTCCGGTGACGGGATAGCCACTACCCCACTGGCTACTGAGCATTTAAAATGGGCTCCGTGCGTGGCTAGCAGGTGGCGTGGCTAAGGCACCGGATCCCGCATGGCCGACTGCAGTTTAAATCCTGGATCAGCAGCTTGAAAATCATGCCAGGTGTGTGCGTGCCCAGAATCCCAAGAGGAGAGGGGATTGTGGCGTGGCTATCCCCCTGCATGGTGCTTTCTCATTTTCTCTCTCTCTGTCTCTCTCTCTGACGAGTGCACACCCCCTATACCAAGAAACTAAAGTGGAGATAAAATGTGCTCGGCGTGACTGAGGAAATGGAGTTCTATCTGACTTCATTTAATACTTTTAATTTAAACAGCTGCACAGCTGCGACTGGACACAGCAGCTCTAGATGCCAGGCCATTCTACCACCCCGTGGGCTCTGCCCGCCTTCACACCCTTCCACGCTGTCACCAGGTCCCGTCATCTGTCATCAGCTCCACTCTCAGTCCTTCCCACACCCCTCCATGCTGTTACTTGGCTCAGTTGTCATCGGCTCCGCTCTGGCAGTCCCTGTGCGGTCTGCCTGCCTCTCACACAAACGACTCACACACCCACTCGTGGCCCGAGAGTGCGGCTTGCTCTGAGGGACTGGCCGCTGGGGCTGGGGCTGAGGACCTCGGCTTCTCCCCGTGCTCCTCCCAATTAATCTGATAATTTGGAAATACCAGCTTGTCAGAAGAACTCAAAGGTGATTTGGAAACAAAAGTTGTGAGGGCATGCCACCTTGTATTTCAACATTAGGCGGGAACCACTGTCTCTGATCGACCTACGGAAGAGGAACGTGGAATCTGGGGAAGACGAGCTGGCATCCAGGCTGGACCACTACAAAGCCAAGGCCACACGGCACATCTTCCTCATCAGGCATTCCCAGTACCATGTGGACGGCTCCCTGGAAAAGGACCGCATCCTGACCCCACTCGGTAGGTGGCCAGGGCTTGGCCCCCGCTGCCAAGGCCCCATCGCTTGTTTTCTTTCTTTCTTTTTTTTGGAGAGGTTTTTGCTATAGGGTACGTACGCTCGCCAGACAGACAGAGACAGAAGGGGAGAAATCACCCCCGAAGAGGGATGGCCACGCTGTAGTCTCTTCTCCATTCGCCTTTTGGGATCTTGGGCACGCACACACACGCACCCAGCGTGAGTTTAAGCCGTCAGGTCCAGGACTCAAATCATGGGAGTTCAGCTACAGCCATTACGCTATCTGCTGGTCCTGGTTGGTTCCTTGAAGGTGCTCCAGGCCCTGGACCTCCCTTAGCCCATGCCAGGGACTGTCAGCCAGACTCAGACGTTGTCACTGCCAGTAAGTAGCAGCCAGACTTGCAGGAGCTAGGCTGCTGGGACCTCCTTCACTTCATAGAAGCATGGCAGTGGGCGGCTCCATGTGGCTGAGCCTGACGTGGCCCCGTTTGCCCTCTCCCTCATCACACACCCTGTGCATCTTCTTCTCCTCGTCCACCCTTGCAGGGCCCTTAGTCACTGCTGAACAGGTCGTTTGGTCTCTGCGTCACGAAGGTCTTGTTTGAAATTTTACTGTAGAGCATGTGCACTTGCCAGAGAGAGAGACAGGTGAAGTGAGACAGCAACCCCTGCGGGATGGCAACACTGCAGTTCCCTCTGCCTCTCAGAATTTTGGACATGCACAGACACACGTCTGGCGTTTGCCACTGGGCTTGACGCAAACCGTGCAGTCAGCCATGTGGGATTTAGGCACCTGAACCACCATGCCACGTGACTTTCCCATGAAGCTCTACCTCACAGATGAGGTGAGTGGTAGGAGGTCCTGTCCCAGGCCCAGCCCCACAGCCTAGTGGTTAAGGGAGCCAGGTCCCACATTGCCACCTGTGCTGTTTGAATCCTGGCCTGGTGGCTCAAAGAATATGGGCCAGGCGTGACTGTGCACAGAGTCCTGGCAGAGTGGAGAAGGGACTGGGGCTGGACCACATCCATGGGGTTAGGCTGTGGCCAGTGTGCCCGCCGTCTGGCAGTTAAGAGAAGAGGAAACCCTGTCCTCTACGCTTGCAACCATTTGGTGCCATCTCTCTTTTTTTGTCTTGCAGTTGTTTTGTTTCATGTATTACCATCATTACTTACTTAACTTGACCAGAGAGACAGGAAGGGAAAGTAGGAAAGCAAGCCTCGAGGTCCCCAACTCATACTGCAGTCAGCCATGTGGGAGTCCAGCACCTTAACCACCTTGCCAGCCCCTTACATCAGAGTTTCAGGAGTTTATGTATTAACAGCTGTAGTGTCAAAGAGGTAGTGATTATCGTGCAAGACCTGGTTTTTGGACATGCTTGAGCAGCAATGCTGTGAGACCCAGGACCCGTGGACAAGACACCACCCAGACTCCAGCCGCGGCCATGTGCCAGTGTTGTCTTCTTTGGAGATGAACACAGCTGCCTGTGAGGACGGGATATGGGTGTGGAGTTTAGTGCTTCACTGGTCGCCAGGGAGCCCAGTGCATGGGACCCAGATGGATCTCTCTCTCCTCAAGGTCGAGAACAGGCCGAGCTGACTGGGCTCCGACTCGCGAGCTTGGGGCTGAAGTTTGACAAGATCGTCCATTCCTCCATGACCCGCGCCGTGGAGACCACCGACATCATCAGCAAGCACCTGCCAGGTGAGTGCTCGGGGCCCTCTGTGAGCGAGGGCCACGTCCAGTCTGCTCCAGCCAGCTGTGCTCCCCCTAGGCGTCTGCAGAGTCAGCACAGACCTCCTGCGGGAAGGCGCCCCCATTGAGCCCGACCCGCCTGTCTCTCACTGGAAGCCAGAGGCTGTGGTAAGAGCCCTCAGCAGCCCGGCCGTGGCCCCACCGTCGCCGCTGCCCTTGCGGGAAACATGGCACCTGCCGCGCTGCCACCTGGCCCTCCTTCCTGCCCTCTAGCAGTATTACGAAGACGGAGCCCGGATAGAGGCCGCCTTTCGAAACTACATCCACCGTGCTGATGCCAAGCAGGAGGGAGACAGCTACGAGATCTTCGTCTGTCACGCCAATGTCATCCGCTACATCGTGTGCAGGTAAGGCAGACCACGAACGGGCCTCTCCTGGCCTGCATACTGTTGGTTAGTTGGCAGCTCTTCCTGGCTGCCCGCTGGGGTCCCTGGTGCTGGCAGCCCCTGCTGGCTGCCTGCTGAGGTCCCTAGTGCTGGCAGCCCCTCCTGGCAACACTGGCGTTGGCGGGAGGGGGGCGGGGC